TTACAGCGCCTGATATTCCCAATCGGTCACCCATTTAGGTAGTGACCAGGCTCGACTGCTTAATTTCATGGATCGTAAGAGAACCGGTGTTTCAACGTGATATGGACGTGATAAGTCTTAGTTAAAGGAACAGTTTTTTTATTATTATATACTATGTCAGATTTTATTTTGGAAGTCAGTAATTTCACAATATAATGATCAATTAATCCATATCAGTTATAAGTCCGGGATATATATTTTATTTATATGATAAATAAACAGTGCGAATTTCAGTTTATGATGCTACAAATATTTACAATAATTGATTTGCTGATATCAAATTTTATTTTGCTTATTATTATTATTAAATCTCCGGAAGACCTAATGCAAGTAGTTGTGTGTTGTTATGGCTACATTTAACGATTTGTTTTTCTAACTCGCATAACATCACTAGCATTACGTGGAAAGAGTTCTCTTTAGTGTGTGGGCTGTACTTATCAACAGATTTTTTTGTATTTCTATTAAGCTGGGATTTCCAGAGATTTTTTTAGTGTGTTGTGTTCCATTTTTTTTTATCATTCCAGTCGCACCTACTATGACTGTTACTATTCTTGTTTTCAGTTTGCAAATTCCTTGGTCGTTATGTTACAGCCCGCTGTATTATTATTATTATTATTATTAAAGACTTTTTCCTCAAATATCAACTGAATATAAAAATGTTACGAATAGTTACTGATATTTATTAGTTTTAAACATGAAAATTATTGGTTTGTTATATTTGTTAATAGATGACATTTCAAGACGCGATTTCGTTCCACACGTTATTGAAATATATTCTTCTTTCCTCGGGTGACAATCGTTTATTTTCGATTCGTGATTTACTTGGCAGAAAGAATTATTACAGTTGTCTATTTTCTGCGGTAGACTGGTTGCCAAACAAGGCTATAGGATCCATGCTGCACATGCTATTTAACCCAAGCTGAGGCGTAGATGAAATGAATCCATAACTTTCTCAAGGGCATTTGCGCTTAAGTGAATGCAACATACTCGACTGGACGTGGAACTCAGCTCTCCGAACTCTCACACCAGCCGCACATTCACGCTTACAGCACCTGGTATTCCCAAGCGGTCATCCATCCAGGCCTTAACTTCTGTGATCGGACGAGGACCGGTGTTTCAACCGTGATACATCTCGAAGCGTCTTTTATTTGAATTCGAAGGTTTCTTGAGAATTTTAAATGTTTGTGCGTAAAAAGATAAAATTGGGGGACATATGATGTTGTTTTGTCATTGTGGTGAACAGCCCCGTAGAAGCAAGCGAGTGGCTTGCATCTGGTGCATAGGAAAATAAGAGTCTTACATTAACTGGCGGTACGTGACATCAGCAAGTTTGCCCCGTGAAAATGGCATTACGCTCCCGTTTAGCAGTTCCAGCACTATGTGCGATGACGAGGGTTTTTGTACAGTTTGGCATGCTTCCACCAATAGCAAGTCACGTGCTGATTGGTGTGCTTATTTTCGTATGCACCAGATGCAAGCCACTCTGGCTCGCTTGCTTCTACGGGGCTGTTCACCACAGTCATTTGGCGCTTTTTTATTTCCAGAAAGGAAGAGAAACACTGGAAAAATCAGCCAAATATATATACATACCGTTTATGGAGAGTGTTCCATATTCGACACTACTGTCCATAAGTGTTCCGTTCCGTCCATGGAAAACCCAGAATGTCGCCTGCTGTCGTTGATGTCGAAAAGCCGATTAAACATAATCCAGGTCACATGACACGGAGCATCGCAGAGATAATCTATATATCCCCTATGAGTTCTGTTAAGCATTTAGCATTTCTTGGATACGTGAATACGACGATATTTGTGTGCCTCACGATTTAACAAAAAATAATTCGTTTCAATCTAAGATTCTCTACAAAACAACCATGTCTGAAAAGGTAAAAAAAAAAAAAAAAAAAACGATTATAAGCGATGAAAAGGAATTGTTTACAACAATTTGTAGCGAAAAACATCCCATAAGGAAATCAGCCATCGTGAACCACTCCAAATCCTCAATCTACAAAATAGATTAAACTAACTGCATTTTAATCAACGCTTTGGACTGGAATTTTGAAGTTTTAATTTTCTTCTTATCTTTTTATTCCTTTGTTCCTTTACCTATACACATTATCTGAAAATAATTTACATATATACACATACACACACAATATATATATATATATATATATATATATATATATATATATATATATATATATATATAAAAGAGTTCTGCTAAAAAATGTATCTGAACTGTCGCTATCGTAAATTCTGTGGCGCATGCACACTAAGTTATAAGGTTCTTGCTTAATTTAGTTGTTAATAGAAGTGCTTGGAAGGCAAGTGTGTAGAGTGTAGTCGTCTCGCTACACCACGGAGGTCCCACCAGTGACCATGATTTGTGCATCAGTTTTTAGTCAGAGACAGCAATCCCCAGGTCCGTCAACCGCTATATTACCCAGATCTCGCCCCTCTTTCGAAAATCAAATCCAAAATTTCAAAGATGTCTAAAGACATGGAATCCGCAATTGTTATGTGTTTTCTTTTTTTATCACCAGTACTGATAGTTTTTGAGCAGCCCTCGTATATTTAGAGAGGGAGTAAGCGATATATATGGAGAGGGTGAAGGCGAGAGAAAGGGAACTCCTGAACATAATGGCTACTAGAACAAGAATGGCTTCAATGAATAAGATTATATAGAGGAACGAGGTGTAAAGAAAGAATTCGTTTTTACACTGGATTTATTCATTCCATAAAGTGACCATTCCAAGAGAACTGAAAGAACTACTAGGGTTTATTTTCATTAGACTCGATCCATTGCAGACTTGGAAGAAAAAATGAAAAAACGCTTATAGTTATCAAATTTTTGATTTTTTTATCAAAATATTTACGAGAAGAAAGGACTATCTATTAACTGTAAGAACACCGATTGCCTGTTTGGCAGCAAGTGACAACTGAAAATGTGACTTGTGTTAAGCAGCTAGGAAAATCTTAGAACAGAAAGTAAATAAACTAAACTCTTATGCAATATCAGTCCGTCTATATGCCGGTGAATGCTGGACAAAATCTTCACAGATGAAGAAGACACTTGAGACAACATGAAAAATACTGATAATATCAGGGACGTAACATGTGAGCAACGACGAAGTTTTACAGAAAATGTAAACAAAATGGACACTCATATTTAACGTTAAAAAGAGATAGTTGAAATTTTTAGGGTACACAATGAAGAAAGACAGCTTGGAAAATTTGATACTCACAGTACATTGAGTCAAATAAAACATAACCTATCAAAGGAGCTTGAGTAAGTGGATGGCAGAAGACGGTTTAATAGAGATAACAAAAATAGAAAATTAAGTGCTACAAAGAACAGGGTATTGGGGGGGACCATGATCGCCACATAGAAGATACAGACTTGAATATCTGGCTAGTGTAGCAGTCTACAAGCATAGGAACAACGAAAGGTAACTTTCAGAATCTAAGCAAAATATTAAGGTATTTTAAAATATCGTTAGAAAGGAATGCTGACATGGCAAATTACTTCCATGGCAATGGTGGACAATCTCGTCAGAGATAAAAAAAAAGCAATTGAAGCGACAGACATCTCTTTTTCACGATGACCACTGAACGTAAGATGGGTCAAACATAAGACGTTTTGAAAAAAATAACAACTATAATAACAATTATATTTACAATAAAAAAAAGACAGTTGAAATTTCCGAGACAGTTAATGAGAAGGTCTACTCAGAGAATTTAATGCTCAAAGGACATAGTGAATGCAAGAACCTGGGCGAAAACTACGAGTAAGCAATGGTAACACAAAGACCAAGAAAGTTGGTAAATGGTAAAAATAGAAAAACAAAACATAGGAAATTGTAGAGAGCCATGACCACCCACGTTCTAAAGGAACGCTTCGAAATCGGCGAGTCCGAGTGTACTAATGCGACCTGAAAGGTAACCAGATCAGCCCCAAGTTAACAGAAGAGTAATTTATGAATTATTTTTTATATTAAAAAAAAAATCTTTATTTTTAAAAGAGCTAAAAACAACAAGTAATGCGATGTCTTAAAAATAAATTCTTTTTTTTCAGGCGACTTCTTTATCATTTTATTATTTAATATTTTCATATTTCATGACTTATTTTTCTTATTAAAATTTAATTGTCCCAGAGTTTTTGTTATTCGACAAGTGCGAGGTTCTGAAGGGGGAAAAAGGTCGAGAAACACTGTTCTAAAGGGACATGACACATAGAGAAAAGAGATGTCTTCAAACGTCACACCATTAGGAGATAGGGACAAATTAATCAGGAAAAGAAAGTCCAAACTACAACAACAACAACACCAACAACAATGAATAAATTACCTCGTACGTTGAATCATGATGCAAATATGCCAACTGCAACGTTATCTGCTACCGACTTCATCAAACCTTTTGGAGATATTACGCAAATGAAAGGATGACAAGACCCTCTGATATGAAACCGCTAAAGATCCTTTCATGAAAGTGTCTCATTCTTTTTTTTTTTTTTTGTTACTTGAGCTGACATGTCAATATGACATCATTTTGTTCCGAAGAGGTTGTAGGAAGTTCATTCGCATGTTTTTTTTTTGTGTTTTTAAATATAGCTCGATAATATATCCGACCACGCTAACAAAATACAAGGCCTTTATAATTAGCTCGGCATTATATGTGCATTTTGCTGTGTTCTGCTTCATTCTATGTTTGTAGATCTTCTTTGACAGAGATCTTCATTTACACAAACAAACTTACACGTTACTGTCAAAAACAAGTTAGAATTCGATGTGAATTATTCAGGAGAAAATTTGTTCTTTCGTAAATTACTTTGTGACCGATATATTCTTGAAACATCCTCGTATTGTGTAAAGGTCATCATTTTTTGCCTTTTGAAAATTCATTTTTGATCGGTATATTTTCCAAACATTCTTGCAAATTTTAAACAATAACAAGGAAAATAAAACGACAATATGCAGTAAAAATTTAGTCTTAGAAAAAATTAATTGAATACCAAATCTTACCTAAAATAGCTAATAGTCCAGCTGAACGGCTAAGAGCAATAATTTGGG